CCCGAATCCAGAACTAACTGAGGAGCTACGTCGACCAGACCTAGACCTAATCGAAGAGCTCCGAGAAACCACTGCTGTCAGACGGGCCTCGTACCAACAGAAGATGAGAACACATTACAACCGCAAAGTCTGACCAAGGGAGTTCGCGGTGGGGGACCTTGTTTTGTGGGAGGTAATCCTCGCCACCAAGAATCTGGCTGAGGGCAAATTGGCAGCCAAATGGGAAGGACCTTACGTTGTTAAAGCCAGGCCCCGTCCGGGCACTTACCGACTTCAAGACATGGAGGGCTGAGATCTCCCCCACCCATGGAACGTCGAGCACTTGAAGCGCTATTTTCAATAATAGTTCAATTCTTGTATCAATCTTTTGCTGTATTTCCTTTTTGGCAGTTTATGCGCTTGAATGTTCTTATCTTCCTCTCATGTGATGTAAATTTCTGATCAACTAGGCTACATTTTAATGACAACAAGCTTATATCTCAGTTATCTGTGTGGTCTTTCAATAACGCTTTGATTGCAACCTCAGCCAGACTGAGCACAAACATAAAGCTTCAGCCAGACTGAGCATAAAGCCTCGGCTAGACCGAGCATACAAAGCCTCAGCTAGACTGAGCACGAAGAGTTCAGCCAGACTGAGCATAAAGCCTCAGCCAGACCGAGCATACAAAGCCTCAGCCAGACTGAGCACGAAGAGTTCAGCCAGACTGAGTATAAAGCCTCAGCCAGACTGAGTTACTTAAAGCCTTAGCTAGACTGAGCACAAAGAGCTCAGCCAGACTGTGTTACTTAAAGCCTTAGCCAGACTGAGCACGAACATAAAGCTTTAGCCAGACTGAGCATAAAGCCTCGGCTAGACCGAGCATACAAAGCCTCAGCCAGGCTGAGCACGAAGAGTTCAGCCAGACTGAGCATAAAGCCTCAGCTAGACTGAGCACGAAGAGTTCAGCCAGACTGAGTTACTTAAAGCTTCAGCCAAACAGAGCATGAAACACCTCAGCTAGACTGAGCATGAAAGGCTGCCCCTGCACCGTCATGATTATGGCATAGTTACCATACTTAGTCAAATTCCAGGTTCACGTTTTTACGCCTCTTTACACTGCTAAAGTCTAAGTCTAGGAATAGCTCTTCTGCTTTACGCTTAAACATCTTCCAGTCGCTGTCCAAGAACTCAGCCATCTCGTGCTTGTAGAAGTCTAACCACTGGAAGCTCTGGATTACCTCTTCTTCACTCCTGCTCCCAGCGGTCGCTCCCGACGGACCAGCCCCCCTAGACGCCTCCCTTGCCAAGTTACTGGCGATCGCAGCATCGATCGTCATCTGGAAGTCAGCAGACCCCTTGAACTGCTCTACTGCAGCGACGCATAAGTTAGGGTATACTGCCCTCTCAGAGGCTGACTTGGTCTTCTCTTCCTTCAACTCCTTCTCCAACCCCGCCTTCTCCTCCATCGACTTGGCCCGCTCGTCCGCCAACGTCCTCTCCAGCCCAGCAATTTTCAGATCCAACTCTTCTTTCTCTTTGATTGACTGAGCTCGAAGATCTTCGTTGCTGGACATGGCCTCCTCCCATCGTTCGTTGGCGACGGTGCAGGCTGCCTGGGCCTCTTCTAGCTTCTTCTGCTCGTTCCCCAATTGGAACTTGAGCGACACCACCTTGCGGCGTTCCCCTTCCAGCTCCAACTTGGTCGCGAGCAGTTCAGCATTAGCTAGATCGGCTGAGTACCCCTACACCATCGCCAACACTTGCATCTTCTTGGCAAAGCCCCTGCTAAGGTGGTCGCCTCCATTTGGGCAAAGCACAGCCCCCTTAGCAGCTCAGCCTTATTGAACCTGGCCACCGAGCGCACAGCTGCTTTATCCACTATCCCCGAAAGGCGATCTGCAATTGTCCTGGCTGGGCCTTCTTCTCCCCCAGTCGCCCAGACAATGCGCGAGCATGGTAGATGGCAGTATTCAGCCTGACCCCCTCTCCTTGGGTTGCAGGACCCTCATTGGGCTGCTGCTCCACCCCCCTTCAGGACCAGCTGACCCACTCTCCACTTGCATCTTGGGCATGGTACTCACGTGCTCTTCTTCCTTTTGGTCCCCCTGACCTTTGTCCCCTTGCACCTCTGGGACAACCACCCTTTCTGGGGTAGCCCCTACTCCCTTCTCCATTGCCTTCTCTGCCATAAGGGTGTCCTCCTCACTAACCCGCGCCTTCTTCGATCCAGGCACATCTGTAGCCCCCTCAGGGGCACCCTTCCTCTTCTTGTTCAACGCCTCCCCCTCCTTGTTTGCCCTTTCCTTCACCGGATCAACTAGGGGCGGTCGTGGCTCAAAATTGCCCAAGTCCTTTTCCCCAACGGCTTGGGGCGCGGTCAGATTCGCTCCCTCGCGATCGGCTTCGGGGCAAGCCCTAGTTGGGTCTCCTTGTATTTGTTCGCTCGGGCGAACAACCTCCTTTACTCTTCCTTCTCCACCTTCTGTTGCCTCTCTAACTCCTCCCTTTCCAGATCGTTTTCCAACGGTTGCGGCCCCAAGTTCAAGGTAAACAACTTCGAAGGCAGGATCAGTTCATTCCACCTCACCCCTTTCTCTTCCCTCCATTCCCTCACCTTCTTCACTCGGTCCTCCGCTGCCTTGTCCAACTTGGGCTCGACCGATTTGGTGGGCACCTTCCACGTCGTGCGAACCCCAACTCCACCGTTCGCCGTCACAAAGAACCATCTCGGCCTCCACTCTTTCACCGAAGATGGAAGACCTGCCACCAGCCCTCGCCCTGCCACTGCTTGCAGAGTCACCCAGGTCTCCTACTGATCGGAGGCCTTGTAGCAGGAGAAAAACTCGTTTACTAACACTGTCGTCCCCCCGGTCGCCTGCAGCCAGGCACTCGCGCACGCCATTACTATCTTCCAGGCGTTCGGCATCAGCTGCCCTGGCGCCGCCCCTAACTTGTTCAACACCTCCACCACTACCGGGGGGAGAGGTAGCCTCAAACCCCCTCGCAGCACCTCCTCATACAAGCTGAACTAGCCTGGCCGCACATCCGATGCCCTCTCCTTGGATTCAGGTAGTCTTAGCCCTATCTCTGAGGGAATTTGATACTTCTCCCTTACTCCCTCCAGCTCATCCACCGTCAGTACGGATCTGTCTGGTTTGGTATGCCAATGGTCCGGCTCCACCTGACTAATCGATCTCACGGCTGAGATCATTGTCCTAGGGTGAGCCCGCACAGCCTGACTCGCTTCCTCCCCCTCCCTACGCTCCATACGGTATTGCTCCGCCAAATCCACTGCATCGCCGTCCCCTAATGGATCAACCCTGGCGACTGCAGCTTCTTCTTGCGCCATTTCTGTGGTGTGTCTGCGAATGGCTTCGGATGCGGGTCTAAGAAAATTCACAAAGTGTTGCAGGGATGTATCATTAGCAACGAAAGAGTTTACACTTGGAATATTTTGGTTGTTTGCGAAGAAATACGTAAAACGGATAATCCCAAAAGCCCAAGATTTGCCTATATTCCAAGGGTCACAATTAAATTCCGCCAGTTTAAAAATTTTCAAAAATCCGCCAAAACTGTCTTTTCAACACCCTATAATGACCTATCGTTTCACTTATTGCCCAACGCCTAACCTCCCCCACTACGAGATTCTGTCACGTGTACGACCACGATCCACTGCCCTTTTCGCCTTCCCTGTCTATTCCACTTCACTTCAACACGTGACCCGCCGCCTCTCGAGCCCCGCGCCATACCACCCACTTTGCGCGGTCGGCCTTCCTCACGGTCGGTCCCTTCACTCGACCACCCTTCATGCTCGCCCCTCCTCAGGGTCGGCCCCACCACTCGGTCGCCTTTGCGGTCGGCCCTCCTCATGGTCGGTCTCTCCACTCGGCCCCCCTTCATGCTCGCCCCTCCTCAGGGTCGGCCCCACCACTCGGTCGCCTTCACGGTCGGCCCTCTTTATGGTCGGTCTTTCCACTTGGCCACCCTGCGCGGTCGGCCCTCCTCATGGTCGGTCACCCCTCTCGGTCGGCCTTCATCTTGACAGTCTCTCACAACCCTCATTTCCTTCATTATTCCCTTCCTTGGACTAAAGCTGTACTTGGGAATGGGGGACTACTGACATGGGTAAGCCCATAAAGATTATAGCCCACCATTTAGGGCCTAATACATAACTCAAATGCTAAAACCCAGCACTGCTGAAGCCCCATGTAGCAATAAGAACCAATGGCATCAAGACACATGGCAAGAGAGGGGCAAGCCACATCAGCAGACAAAGATCTGCAAAGTTATTGCCATGGCACATCGCCATTAATGAGGCCCTTTATAGCATTTATTGAGATAACCTCTCTCCGTCGGGATAGAATGCCTTCATCCTGAACAAGGTACGCTAGAGCATAGACTTTTGGCCAAGGTGACAGGTCGGAAGGGACAACGTAATGATTACCAAAGGATATAAGCAGACGTCGAAGACAAGAAGAAGGTTAAATTTTTCTATCTCTAATCTATCTACACATTCCACTTCTCTCTTTCTAACTTGCTCATCGGAGGGTTTGCTGGGGGACTCCCTGTTCCCCGTTGAACTCTTGTGCAGATCTTCTGGTAGGCTTGGTCATTCGGACATAGGCTCGAGGAGCGTGGATCAGTCTGACCCGTTCCACCTGAAACAAACAGTATCATCAAACCCAAATCTCTTTTACGATATGCTTCACCCCTTAAGATATCCCAAATAATAAGATAGGCTTGTCCTTGATGGAAAATTCTATATTATTGCTCGATTTAATAGTTATTCCTTAATCCTTTATATAGAATGGAATAGTTATTTCTATCATCTTGGCAACTTTTGCTTCTCTGTTTCTTTTTCCAACCCTTGGTATTGTTTTATTATTTTTAATAAAATATTATCTTCCTTTTGTTGATAAAAAAAAAAAAATTACAAGAATTCGTGTTGCACACCATTATTTTAACATTCGTACTTTTTACCAACTGACAAATATTCATAATTCAGCACAAAAAATGGACACATTTTTGAGCGATAAAAGCCCGACATCATCTCCTTCCTAAACTCTTCATTGGTAAGAAAAATATTTGAGGCAATTGAAACTGAAAATTCACATGATCTGTTTATTAAAGAGAAGAAGAGACCATTACATTTATGACTTTAATAGAAAGAGAGAATGTATTCTTCTTACAACAACATTCTTATTATTGCTGTGGCCACCACAGAAAGGTCATGAACCACTTTGTTCATATCACTCAGAGGTGATTTAGATTGGCCGAAACTCTTTTCACAGGATTCAGCCTCATTTGCAGCATCAACCATACTTGATTCGGCAAACTTTGGATCACCTTTAGTCAAGGCCTCAACAGCAGTTGGGATGACACCCAAAATACCATTGTACAAATCAACACAATTTTTCAATGGACCTCTCAGCTGTGGAGTGGAGTTTATAAGCTTGTTGATTTGGGTTAAAGTAGAAGTTGATTTGACCTTGGTAGCATCAACTACAATGAGGCCTAGAGTTGTGAGATTTGAGCTTCTGCTTCTGGGGTCTGCGGTTAGAGTTGAGATACAGAGTTGATAAAAGGGTGTCTTCTGGCATGTTGTGGTTATCAAAGAAGTTGCTTGAGCTGAAACATTGTGTTGGTTTGATGGTGAAAGGAAGGCTACAAGGACGGTGAGTAGTGTGAGAGAGATCAAGGTCTTCATTATGGGGTAAGAGAGGAGATTGGGATAGACAATGGTGTTAATGTTGTTGAAAGCCGAAGGTATTAGCTAGCTCTTATATAGGATTCAAATATGAGCCTTTTTTGGGAAGTTGGTTATTTTAATAATTTATTTCAGTTTTTGACTATTTTATGAGGTTAAAATTTTTGTATTTGAGAAGATGATTGAATTTTTTTATAGTTGAATGTGATATTTGTGAGAAAAAAAGTAAAATAATTATAAATTTAATATGATATTTTATCTTATTAATTATTTTAATTTATTTTATCTTTTTATAAATTTTAAGTCAAAAATTAGCTATTAAGGTAAAAAAAATATTTTCCTTTTTAATTTTAATATGGTTTATTGACAATTGAAAAAACAAAAATTTAGCAGGATCTATCATATTTGGCAAATTCTAAAAAAATATCATATATTTTGAATAGGATCATCTCCAAAAACTTTGAGGCAAATTTATCAATCAGTCGTAAGAAATTTTTTTATTGAAACAAATATAGAATGATTAAAAATATATATATTGAAAATGAGAGAGAAAAGTTTGTGAGATGAAATTTAAATTTAAATTTGTTATTGTCAATTAATAGTTTTTCAATTTCATAATTTTGTTTAAAATTTGAAGGAGAGGTCTTAAAATGGAAAGATTAGGAAAGATTCCAATGATAATTAATGAAAATTAGTAATTACATGGAAACTTAATTCAATTTAAAATAAAATGACAAATTATATGACAAATTATTTTAACTTCAAAAATATTATGACACATTATTATTAATAATATATAAATTTTAAAAATCTAAGAAAAATGGATGGAAAGTTTAAGCTACAAAGACCTAACAATATTTTGCAATTATATATGGTATAAATAAATTTAGAAATGTGATTTAATTTTCTTATATATGTGTGTGTAATTTCTTTATATGTGTCAAGAATTAAAAGATTTTAATATATTAATTAAACAATTGATAATTATATATATGGTAAAAGAACCCATAGTTACATGACATGTGTTTTTTATATTTTATAAAAAATCTAAGAAAATAGAGTTGGGGTTAGAGCTTAAAAACCCAACAATGTTTTGCTTATTATTTATATTATACCATAAATATTGTATACAAATATTTACTAAATATTGTATACAAATATAGAAGATTATTATTCTTAATGTTTTCTTTGCCTCAATGTGAGGGATTCACTTTATCAAAAATCTTCCTTCACCATATTATTTTACAATAAGATCCTGCCATGGAAGGACATTTGGAAAAAAAAAAGTTAATTGTATATGTAGACCGATGATAAAGATAATGATGGACTAACAACAGAGATGATGGTAAACCGATAATGAATAATCATTTTTTGCTATTGTTATACATAAACCATAATTTATTCGTCAGTTTGTGTAGTCATCGATATTTTATGATTTATTCACCAACATCAAGTCATCAATGATAGAGATGATGAAAGACTCGCAACAACAATAATGGTAAACCGTCGATGAATAATCATTTTTTGCCATTGTTACATATAAGCCGTTATCTATTCGTCGATTTGTGTAGTCATCGATATTTTATAGTTTATTCACCAGTATTACGTCGGCGTTGATTATATATAGATTTTTCTAAAAAGTGCCTCAATATATATGAATTATTTGATGATTTTTTATATATTGTTTTATGATTTGTTATATGTTGTTTGTTACTATATTTGTTGGTTGAGCAATCATTAGTATTGCCATTGAACAATCGAAATAGTCGATTTTTACTTTTATCAATTTTGTTTCGTATTTTCATGTTATAGTGTGTATATTCACATTGGTATGAATTTACTTTTTTTAAGACTAGTTATATGTTAATTGTAAACTGTGAATAGTCACATTGTAATTTAGTATTGATTTTATTTTTGTCGAAGGTTAGTTGCATATTTATTGTTTTTGTTATTATACTTGTTGGTTGAATAATCATTTTTTTGTTACCATTGAACAATTGAAATAGTTGATTTTTACTTTTTTCAATTTGTTTTATGTTTTTACGTTGCAGTTTGAATGTTCACATTTATATGAGTTTAGTTTTTTTAACAGTAGTTGTATATTAATTGTAAACTATATGAACATTCAAATTATGTTTTGGTAAGAGTTTATTTATTAGCTTCCATAATGCTAAAAAATAAGATTTTAAATAAGATATTTATTAGCTTCCATAATTTTAAAAAGAATAATACTATATGCATCAATTGGTATACTAATTAGTGTATCAATTAATGATGTGATAATTTTAGAGATTTTTGATATTTGTAATTTGTAAATTTTAAATAGGATATTTATTAGTTTCCATGATTTTCTCCTAATATATAGATTCTAATTCAAGTGGGATAAGTATTCAAATTAGAGTATTTTCTCCTAAAGTATTGATGTAGTTTTTGCTTTTGGTACTAAATCTAAAGTTGGGATTTTTGATCTTTTGGATAGTCGTAGAACTAGATGGGTTATTAGAAATTAACTTGGAATAATTGATATATAAGTATTAGAAATAAAATTTTTGAAAAAATCTCCCAAAAAATAAAAACATTTAGTTTTTTTAAATTAACTTTTGGATCAAAAAATCAAAAAATATGTTTGATTTTCTTGTTTTTAAAATTATTTTTTCTCTCTCCTCTCTCCTTTTCTTTTATTTATTTATTTATAAATTAATCCATCATTTTTTCTCTCTCATTTTTTACATTTTACATATCAATCAATTAAATTTTCTCTTACATCCATCCATTCAACTATGAAATAAAAATTTTAAAACATTACAAATCGTACCAAAATTATTTTCAAAATTCATAACTAAACAAATTTTTTATTTTCGAAATACTTTTTAACAATTTATCTTTTAAAATACAATTTAAGACTCAAAACTCTTCTAAAAAACAAAACCAAATAGAGTCAAAACTATTTAAATATCAGCTTTTATATTTACTTTTAAAACATATTTACGTCTATGTTTACGTTTATTTTCACTTTTACTTTTAAAATAAATATTTACGTTTGTTTCGTGTTTTTAGGAGTCTAATCTTATGACATCTTTATTGTTTATTTAGAAAACGTAAATATTTGTAGATATTTTGCTTTTACTTTGAAGAGGAATGAACCACAGCATTATACTCCTTCCGTTTTCATTTGTTTGTCCATTATGAAAAATCTAACTTATTAAAGAGGTGTGTAATTATTATATTTTCATTCAAATTTTAAAATGTATTTTTTCATTATTGCCTTTTTATTTGAATTTAAAAATATTTTTATAATAATTTATAGTGGGTAATTTGAAAATTTAACAGAATTTAATATCTCAAAATAAAAAGTGAACAAATATTTTAAAACAGACTAAAATAAAAAAAAATAAAAAAAAATGAACCAACAAAATAAGACGGAGAGAATTGTTTTTATATATCTTTTATATTTGTATACTATTACTTTTAAAAGTTGAATTAAGATAATGGTCTTGAAATGATTTGTGAATGTATAGAAGATGATAGGTGAGTGACAACTTGGCTCGGTTTGCTTTGTGATGTTTTGGCTAAAGAAGCAAAAACAAAATTATAAAAAAAATTAAAATGTCATATTATACATATTAATTAATTATTTTATTTCTTATAACTATTTATTGAATTAAAAAAATATTTCAAATGCACTAACTTTTTTTATCTCATAAAGAAGTTAAAAAAAAAAAATCACTAAAAAAGTCAAGATACCAAACAGATACTATAATGGGATGAATTTTACTGTTCATTTTCTTTCTAAGGCCTTGTTTGGAGAGTTGGGTTTTCAACTGAAAAATCAAAAAGTGACTATAAATTGTCACATTACTGTCTCTTTTTTTTGCATATTTTTTCATAAAAAATAAAAAAATAACTAAAATAGTCAATTCTCAAATGGAACCTAAATAAATCCACATAATTAACAAATGTTTTATATATATGTAAGATTTATTATATTTAAAAATAATAATACTATACAAATAAAATTATACATAACAATGCTATGACTCAATTGTATTTATTTATTAGAAATCAAAAAACTCATCACTCTAATTTATAATTATAAAAATATTATTATTATATAATTTTGCATGACTTATTTATAATAGAAGTGGTGATACACACAATGTAACATAGATAAAATTATAAAAAGTTTGATTGAATTCAAAATTTATAAATTGAAACAAGTTTTGAATTTAGAAAGAGGAAAAAAAAAATTATTTATGAAAAGGAATGATAAATGGTGGGTCCTACATTAATTAGGAAACATACATGGGTATGACATTTATCATCATTTCTGTTACACATAACAACAATTTCAATTTGTGATTGAGTTGAGTGTGCCAATTTTTGTACACATTTCTGTATACCGTTGCTGTGTTGCTGGTGAGAGTAATCCCATGTTACTCAGCAATCATATGATGAAAAGAGAATAAAATTTGATATCTAGTGAGGTTGTTCAATCCGAGAATACTTGAAGAATGATGTAGATGAAAAGAGAACAAAATTTGATATCTAGTGAGGTTGTTCAATCCGAGAATACTTTGATACTTAAATAATTAGTCAAGAGAGAACGTGAGCCGAGGAGATGAGCACAAATTCGACGGTGAAGATCTCTAGTTCGCTATATGAAAGCACAACAAAAATTATTTGGTCAAGATGTTCAACCAAAGGATATTGTAATACTTGGTTAATATTAAGTTGACGTAAAATGTGAGCAAAACAACAATTTGAGTGCATAATATTGTATGCATGAATTCTTTGAGTGTCTCCCTTTTTGATGGCTGGGTATTGGATGTCTCTCTTTTTGATAATTGGATGTTTGGATCAGCTTATATGTATATTGACTAATTTTAGAATACACACAAAGCGTGCCCTCTACATGGATCGGACAAAGCTTGCAGGTGTGGCCCCAAGGAGTTAAGCATCAAGTGAGAGTTGAACCTAAGATCTGAAAAGAGCATACCCACGTACCCCAATTGCATATACTAAGCCAA